AGATAATTAGTCTTTAATGGCTTCCTAATTTGGTGTGCCTGTTATTCGAAGTATTTTCTAAACTGGTATACTCCTTCTATTAGGTGGCCTCTCATCCACGTTTCTCAAGCCAGATGTCTGCTACCGCTGCTAGTCCTACATAAGAAGTATTGGTATCACATATCAGAAAAGAAACTTATTATGAGTTTGCACTACTCATTTGCTAGCTTGTATTCCTTCATGCAACTTAATATTACATGAATGCCTCAAGCCTCCTACTTGTTTCCTCAGGTATACTAGCCTTATATCTCAAGCCAGTCCCTGCTGCCACCACCCGGTTTGCCATCCTCAGGTCTTAACATTTTCCTAAGTTGTCTAATGCAGTATACTACTTATTATCTCTTAAGTACTCCCTTATATGGTATTCGAGCTATTGGCTATTCGAATTAGCTTTAATGACCTATCTTGTTAAAGACCAGCCTAACACCACAAAATTACTTAAGTGGCAAGCTAAATCACTTCCAACTATTTTTAGTTGGTTTTACTTTTGTCATAGACTTCCATATAGATGTGATCAAAGCTCTGAATTGATACCTTTAGACGTACAGGAGGTAGGTTACATTCTCTATACCAAGTAGCCTTCTATAGTTATTCCACCGTACCAGAGGTGCTTTCAATTCTAGTTAGGATATGATCCTTTATTACAGCCCATTGTTGTGTATAATCACTTCTCTTACTACTCTAGTTTTGGTAGTATGGTATTACTCTACCAAGCAAGTACCTAATGCCATTCCATATTAGGACTTATACGCACAATCTGTTGATCATTCTTCTAAGCAAGTACCCCACAAGTTGGGTGTAGGGATGTTGGTATTGCCAGATATAGAGGTGATGGGATATTGGTATTGTCTCTGAGTCACCCTAACCAGAGGACTTACACGCGCAATATTCTACTACCTAGACCTTCTGTGATGCCACTGTTATACATAGTGCTTCACTCCACAACCTGGTCTCCTTCTGGGAACTTCCTATTCTGGTTTTGTACTGCGCTTGAACTTTTCCACAGGGCTTCGTATCTGATTATGGCTCCATAGGTTACAGAAACAAATTTTATTAAAATTTGCCTCCAGCCCGACTTGAACTGTTGACCTAGTCTGTAGAGGTCTGAGAGCTTAACCAGTAAGCTATGGGATCCAAACACCAACAATAAGATTTTTATAGCAAATAAGAAATAAAAGTGATAATTTTTTTGATCTTTTAGGAATTAATATTTTAAATTTTTCTAAATTAATCAATAATTAGTAATGTGTATATAATTATTCAGGACCAATTATATATGCAAAAGATCAAACTAAAATTGCTGAAATGATTAAAGTAGATCGTCGACATGCTCGATTTGTTGGATACATACAAATGCAACAAACTTCTATTCTTTATTCAATGACAATTGATGAACTTCAACAAAAATTAAAAACTCTGAAAAAAGCAACTTATATTATAGTCTTTGCGATTTTAGCAGTTATACCAGGAATATCACCACTCATAATTACAATACTTCCATCTGATCAAAAAAAAACTTTACCAAATATAATCAAACAAAACAATTTAGTTGTTAAATATTTAAATTGCGTTGATGCAAAATTAGTTGGATTATATTTTGATGGTGCTTCTCATAATTAGAATTGACTAGGTAGACCGTATTTTACTAATTATGAATTTCAAAATAAGTTAGGATTAATTAAGATATTTTTAAAATTTTATAATAAATATTATATTATTGCAGACATATAAAGAATCTAATACTTTTTTCAATTCTATTAAAAAAACTTCCTCTTGACCTACATTTATTTGAAAATAAACTACCGCTTTTAAGTGGAACAAATGGCTGAATTATAGTATAGGTTGCCTCTTTTTACCAGCATTATACCAATTTTTTGGCCAGAATTATACTAATTTTTGGCCAGAATTATCACAAGGGACCCACGCGTATATATATATAATACTCTTATATACTCTTTTTTTATACAATTTTAGGATATATATCTTATTTTTTAGGGTATATACCTATTTTTTAGGGTATATACTCTATTTTTTGGGGTATATACCCTATTTTTTAAGATATATTTTATGTCACGTGACCTTTATTTTTAGGGTTTAGGGTGCTTTT